TCCACTTGGCCTAGTGAATTATTTACACTTGATAATTTTAATGTTCAGTTTTCACCAAACTTTTAAGTTTTAGAAGTTATTTTTTTATTATACTTGATTTTCCTTAGTTTAATCATGTTTTTAATGTCAGTGCTTCATCTGTCTTATATGTGCATTGGGACTGAAGTAAGTGATGAAAGGTACAGACTCTTCAGCCCACACCATACCAGCAAACATGTTCATACTTTCTTTTCTGCGTATTTATGCATCTCTTTGCTTTCCCTTTTCTCTCCTTGAATTCCTTAGCCCCAGGAGTAGAGTGGACTCTCCATCCCATTGGGTACTCTGGGGGCCAGAGGCTGGCCACACTGTGCAGTTAGCTGCATGCTAAACTCCTATGGTCCTAGCTTGAAGCCAAGGAGATCCTGCACTAGCCCTTTCTCACAAAAGCCCCACAAACCTATGGCCCATTCTTCAAGCTCCCCTGCCTTCTGCCTGCAGAACTGACTGCCTCAAGAGGATTGGGTTGAGTTGATTGCATTTTAAATCAAACTATGAAAGGTAGATCAGATTCAAGGCCCCTTTTCCCGTCCTCTGCAGGATCCTGAACTTTTACATTTTATTCATATTTTCAAATGGTATTCTCTTCATTATTTGTGATCTATTTGGAAGCTTATTTTTGAATATCATGGTTTACATTACCCCTTCAAATGCACAACCTGTTGAAGTACACACTGCAAGTTATAGGAAGTATCCCGGTTAAATGTTTGGACAAATAAACTCATCCAGAAAAGTTTATTGGTTTTGATTAGTAAAAATTTGTTGATCATTTATTTGTCTAATTCAAGTTCTGTTAATCTGAAAATCTTCCACAGCCTAGAAGATCAGTTAGAACAGGACAGAAGAAAGCTAGATGGAGGAAACAGGAAGTGAAGAGTCAGCATTGAGTAGTCAGAAGGAAGACGACAAGGAAATCGAAAGCTACACATAATCAGAAAGCCCTTCTCTGTCCGGTTCACACAAGCTCTCTTTCTTAGCCTATCTGCTAAAGTTATGGACAAGTCCAATTATACAGTAAAGAGACCATTCTGCTCCAGAAAATTAAGACAAAGAGGCATTCAATAGAATTGCATGGATGAAAGTTGTATACCTTAGCATCTCAGGTTGCAAAGTTGGTGCAAATGCATGTGTGTTTATGTTTAAAATAGTCATTTGCTTTCCATATTTGAGATTTGAATTATGTACATGCCCTCTCTTTGGATTACTCGATATTCAGTTGCTCTTAATCATCTTTAGGCAAAGAGATTTGAATTATGCAACATGTATAAGCTTCACATAGAATGGTAATTAGTCTGTGTTGTTCAGTAGCATTTAATGTTGAGGTTAATGATTCAGAAATAGTTTTTAAAAACCTACTGCCTAGATTCAATATATATGAGTTAGACCAGCTTTTATTCTGTGTCAGTGGCAGTTGGATGTTTATGTGTCTAAGCTGCCACTTTATATTTATGATGTGTAGAGTCTGGCGGCATGTATTTAAGCTGTCATTTGCTACCAGCCGTAGCTAAAAAAAATACCTCTCTGTGTATGACAGAGACCTCCCTCTCCACTTTTTGTTACTTTCTGAATTTTGTCATGGACATTATTATGGAAAGTATTTGTCTGAGATTTGACTTCTTTGCTCAAAGAAAGCTTTTAGAAATAATTATAGGATTTATTTTTTTTAGATTTGTTTGAGTGTTTTGCCTGCATGTATGTATGTATGCACACCATGAGCATGCAGGCCTGTGGAAACCAGAAGAGGGGGTAAGGTCCCATAGAACTGGAGTGAGGAATGGTTGTGAGCTGCCGTGTGGGTGCTGGGAATTGATCTCTGGTCCTCTGCAAGGGCAACATCTGCGCTTAACCACAGAGCCATCTTCCCAGTCCTCATTTGATTTTTTTTTTCAAAACAGGGTTTCACTATATATCCCTGGCTGGCCTTGAACTTGTAGAATGGATGAAGACCAGGCTGGCTTTGAACTCAGAGATATACTTGCCCTTCCTTCTTGAGTGTTAAGACTGCTGGCCATTGCTGCCACACCCAAGAAAGCTTTGTGAGGTGGTAATGATAAAGGGAGAATAGTGATGAAGCCATTTGCTTGTTGGCGTAGATAAAGTGGGCACTAAATAGCTCAAGTTATAAAAAATGCATTTCTGAATTTCTTATTATATATGCACATGACTAAGACAAGAACATAAACTATAAGATAAAAATTTGTATCTAATATCACTGAGTACTTTGTTTTTCAATTTATATTTTTTTCCGTGTGTGTGTGTGTGTGTGTGTGTGTGTGTGTGTGTGTGTGTGCATGTGTGCTCAAGTGTGCATACATGTGCATGCACACGTGTGTACCTCCTGTGGAGGTCAGAGGACAACTGGTGTATGTCTGTTTTTGTCCTTCCACCATGTTGGTTGGTCCTGGGGATCAAATGCAGGTTGTTAGTTAGACTTGACAGCAAACACCTTTTCCTGCTGAGATCTCTCTCTGACCCACCACTGTGTTCTTTATTAAGAATTCTTGTGTATTCTACAGATATTATTAATAAATAATTTAAGTTTCCCCGTAGAAGTCCCCCACTTCCTGATGCTTATTGGTTTTTAATGTGTAACATTAGAAGTATGTTGATAGTTTAAAATGTTATATTTATTAAAATATGTGTAATATTCCATATAGATTGAATGTTTAGTAGCAATGCTTTGGTGTAGACATAGAGAACTGATTGTCAATTGCCAAAAGTTAGTGAGTCAACAAACCAATTAAAAAAATCTCAAGGATATTAGATTTGAAAATGTTCTTCCTTAATTTAGTTTGTCCATTATATGTTATTTTAATTATTCATAGTATTGCTTAACATGCCAGGAAATGTCCTGTAATAGAATTTATTAAATAATGTAGTTTCAGTAATATGAATTCTATATTTAGTAGCATGTTTTAAAGTCTTAGGTTAAAATGCTTTGTAAAGAATTATCTAGCTAGTTTGAAGCATAAAAACAAGTCTTTGCTTAGTAACTTTATCCATTTTGTAATTTTGAAACCAGATGCTCATTTCAGAAAAGAAATAATTTGAGCTATTTTGCTATACGTAGAGGGCAGGTGATTTTTGTAGGAAACAAAAATACATATTCCCACTGGCATAGAACAGAGATCTTCACGTAGGGCGTTGCTTTCTGATGTCTATCAGTGGACATATATACCCACCCCTCTCCTCCTGCAGAAGCAGTAAATAAGAAATTGCTCATCTTGTTGAAAGACTCTACATACATTCTCTTTCTTGTGCCATGCTGGATGTTTAAGGACTATCAGATGGGTTATACGGCATTGGGCTTAAGTGAGTGAGTAAGTGAGACATGAAAGAGAAGGACCCTGAAGATGGAAATCCTGACTGGAATTTGTCTCTGGTTCCAGTAGGAGGTTGAAGTGATTAGAACTGTTCTTTTAGTGTTGATGTGGATTTTTGCATGCCCTGGATCTCCTATTGTTTCTTATTTTTGCTATTAATAGTAAAGACTCACAAATATGTTAAGTATAGACTTAGATTTTGTTCCTAAATAGATAATGTAGAGATTTTATGTAGAAACGTGTGCTTGGGTATGTCTGTCTTAAACTTTATTTTTTGTGTGTGGATGTTTTACCTGAATGTGTGGCTTTGCACCATGTGCATGCAGTGTCTGTGGAGGCCAGAAGAAGACATCAGATCTTCTAGGGCTGGATGTTGTGAGCCACCATGTGGCTGCTGGGAATTGAACTCAGGACCTCTGGAAGCACAGCTAGTGCTTCTAACTTCTGAGCCATCTCTCCAGGTCAGGTTCTATGTTTTGAGGTGTTGTGGTGAGTAGGAAAATTGGTCACATTTAAAATAAGATATGAATAGCTACCTCCTTCTCAGGATTGTACAGTAGTAGTCGCTGAAGATTCTGTCCATTGGACAGGTAAGGTGTTAGATGTGCTCCACTGCTTTCTGCTTTTCTTTTTCTCGTCCTTAGTGAGGGAAAGATATTCTTCAATTGTTGAAAATTTGACTTAAAAAAAGTTTTAGCTCACATTAAGGATTCTTTCTTTTGGTGGCTTTGTGATGGGCATAAATGGTAGAGATGTTTGGGATTTCATGTATCCTGGCTTCATTGTGTTTCCCTGATGACTTTTCTGCTTCTGTCTCAATCTTGTGCTGTAGCTAGATGCTTCTATTCATTTGCAGTCTGGTTTGCTCCTTCTTTTAGTTTACTCTAGTCAGCCAGTGCCATCCACTCTTCTGTTTCTAGTAGCAGCAGTCTGCTTGTGCTGCTTGTTCATAGGTTGATGTCTTTAGAATTAGGATTTATTCTTTTCTCCATGCTCTCAGCTCAACTGAATAGCCCCCTCCTTTCAGTGTTACAGGGCTTTGTAGGTGGTGCTTTCAATACCCATCAATCATAGCTAGGTACGCCGGAGCTGTTTATAGTGGGGCCATGTGCTATCCATTTTTGTACCTTCTAGAACAAGCATATTGTTAGCATTTGTTTAATATCAGTGTTGTAAATTTATCCTTCCAATGGTTGAGGAGATAGCTCGTCTCATTAAATTCTTGATCATAGTAACTTTCTTACATGTTTCTTACATGCATTATTCCCACCTGTGGAACTGCAGTTAAAATATTTGGGGTATTTTGAGGATTGATTGAAAGCAAAACAGGGACATTTTATATAGTTGCAACTCACAGAAGTTGACTTTAGACCAGTGGTTCTCAACCTATGGGTCAAGACCACCTTGGGGGTTGAGTTATCAGATATCCTGCATGTCAGATATTTACATTTACATGATTCATAACAGTAGCAAAATTACAGTTATGAAATAGCAATGAAATAATTTTATGGTTGAGGTCCCCACAACGTGGGAAATTGCGTTAAAGGGTTGCAGCGTTAAGAAAGTTGAGAACCGCTGCTTCACATTCTTCATTACTATTTTGTTTTTGAGAGTTTGATTTTCTTCTCCTGATTGCAGGACCCTAACAGGAGCATTCATACCAGCAGCAGCAGCAGCAGCAGCAGTAGCAGCAGCAGCAGCAGCAGCAGCAGTAGCAGCAGCAGCAGCAGCAGCAGCAGTAGTAGCAGCAGCAGCAGCAGCAGTAGCAGCAGCAGCAGCAGCAGCAGTAGTACCAGTTTTTCAAAGCCTCACAAATTAATGAAGGAGCACAAGGAAAAACCTTCTAAAGACTCCAGAGAACATAAAAGTCCCTTCAAAGAACCTTCCAGGGATCACAACAAATCTTCCAAAGACTCCTCCAAGAAACCCAAAGAAAACAAGCCACTGAAAGAAGAAAAAATAGTTCCTAAAATGGCCTTCAAGGAACCTAAACCCATGTCAAAAGAGCCAAAAGCAGACAGTAACTTACTCACCATCACCAGTGGACAGCAGGATAAGAAGGCTCCCAGTAAAAGGCCCCCCATTTCCGATTCTGAAGAACTCTCGGCCAAAAAAAGGAAAAAGAGTAGTTCAGAGGCTTTATTTAAAAGTTTTTCTAGTGCACCACCACTGATACTCACTTGTTCTGCTGACAAAAAACAGATAAAAGATAAGCCTCATGTCAAGATGGGAAAGGTCAAAATTGAGAGTGAGACGTCCGAGAAGAAGAAGTCGACGTTGCCGCCGTTTGATGATATTGTGGATCCCAACGACTCAGACGTGGAGGAGAATATGTCCTCGAAGTCTGACGTGAGTAGCCTGGTGTCCCCCTATTCCCTTTAGCCATTCTCGGGTTTTATTTCAGACAGCTTCATGGTAAGAAATGAGAGAACATGGATGCTGTCCCTATAGAAAAGAGGAAGGGCGGTAGCCTTAAAGTGAATTTCCTTCACTCACGGGAAGAAGGAGGTGGAATCACTGAGGACTCTGTGGAGTTTTTTAGGCTGTGATTGAAGTTGTGAATGGAGGGAGAAATATATTCCATAGTGCAATAAAAGGTTATTTGAGTAGCAACATAAAGATTCGGTGCCTTTGGAAGCGTTGTTACAGTGCTCTGTAGTGACTGCTGACTTAGAGAAATTGTATTCAAGCACTCAAGCTTGAATAGAATGGAAAGTCAAGTTCAAAGAGAAACCTAAGAAACACTGTACAACTGTGGTTGTTATAATGAAGTAATTTTTAAAGATTAAAAAAAGGAATGAACGGGGAATTGGTTACAGTTTACTGGTTTTTCTGTATGGTGCCGGGACTTGCCTTGCATAACAAGCAAGCACTCTCCTCCTAAGCCAGCCCCCAGCCCCAGTGCTCGGATTTTGTAACAGCATTAAGTGAAGCTTTGTTAAAACTGTATTCTATGCATATTGAAACTTTGATCTGCATATGTACCTGTAAACTGTTTTCAATTTGAAAATCAAACTGTTTTTTTCTTCATGGGGTAGCCACTGACTGGGAAAGAGGGATTGCATGATCTGCTGTGTGTTTGCTGGTGGGCAGGATTATCTTCCAGATGCCTGAAAAAGCATCTGACCATCTAATACCCCAGTTGTTTGCTATTGTGATTTAAGCTTCTGGTTACAGATTTGCAGAGTTGGATGCAGGGATTTTGCAGTTATCTGCTTTAACCTCCTAGCTGTATCTTGCTCATCTAGTGATGGAACTGTTGGACGGCATTTGATTCTGTTTTCAAGACTAACTATCACTCGCCATGAGGTTCCATCCTTTCACCTCTCTGGATTCTCTAAGCTGGTCTTTTCAGTTATGTGTCCGTGACCATTAGGCCCGGCACCCTCCTTTTTTTGGCTGTCAGCAGTGACCATGGTCACCAAAGGTCACTGACAATTTTAGAATACTTTTCTTTCTGTCCTATGATGTCCCATGGATGTCCCTTATTTCAATACTGGCAAAGGACAGGAGGCCTTTCCCTGCCTGACCTGGGTTTGCACTGTTCTGTATAGCAAGCCAGCCAGTGTCAGGAGAAGTGGCCAGTACCAATCCTCACTGGTCCAGGGATATCTCCTCCTCATATTCTGTAGGGCTGATCCACACTTCTCTTCAAAGGTTAGGTTAGAAGCATGTGTCACACAAAATGCTGCAGACAGGGTGGTTTGTTCAGTGCTGGGGAAAGACTAAACACTTAAAGCTTGTGAAATAAAAATGAGTGGAATGAGCTGTTCTTTCTGCTCGCCCAAGTATTTCTTTTTCCTTGTTTGCTCTGAGCCTCTCCTCTTAGTTGGAAACTTATTCTTAATGCAGATACTACTTTTTTTTTGTATTTAGTTTTTGTTTCAGATCACCCTGAAAATACTCTCAGTGTGTGATTAATATGTCAAGAGTAGAGTTTGGCAACTTTCTCTATGTACTGAAATGTTATGACTCTTGTAGAAAGAAGGCTCTCAGAGTTGGGTTGTGAGTCACTGATAAACTATGAGATCAACTTAGCATGTCATCACCAACATTTGAAAAACCAGAATACATTGTAATTAGTATGAGTAAGTGATGGTTTATGGAAATTTTATTTTAGAAAGAATGTATTTCTTCAATGATCAAAACTTTCAAAGGCCCCTTTTTAAAATGCTGATTTGTGACGAGACCAAATGGCATTTGTAAGGCACTATCGATCTTTCTCATGAGTTTGGCACACATGGGCTTCCTCCCTGGGCATTTCTGTCTCTTCTTTTGTTCGTTCCTTGTTCTTTCCTCTTTATGCATGGTTTATAAAACATGCCTTTCTTTTCATTAAAGTCTTATTCATCTTGGTATGGTCATCCAAATGGATACCTTGAAAGTCCTTTGAAAGCCAAGAGTTAGAATTGTTAATTATGTACAGTGGATAGTACATTTTTAGAATTATTGGAGGTGTAGAACCAGTGATTACAAGGAATTTCTGCCATGTGCTCTATGTAGCATGGCAGAGAAAGCATCTAAAAACTTTTGCGTGTTGTTTAGGTATAAAGCCCAACAATTGTGCTTTCCTTATAAGTCTTTTGGTACTAAATGCTTTTATTTTATTGCGTTTGGTTTAATCGTTTAAGTCATGAATTCAAGAGACTTTTTCCTTAGCAAAGCCTCAGGGAGAACTGGGATTCATCTCATTCAGCAGTAAAGACAGCCATCCAGATTGTCTCATACCTGCCATTTCACCTGTGTTCAAGACAGACAGCACCACAGGAACTGGGATGTTGTCCCAGGTCCCAGAGCATCACTCTCAACTTCAGGAGCATAGTTCCTATTGTCTTGGGGGTGAACTGGTTGGCCCCTGAGTATGGGTCATTTGATGGCCTGGTTTTTCCAGGGTCCTGTCAAGTTTTGTTACTTGATTGTGTTCATTTGTGAGGATGGGGTAGTAAGTAATTTTAGAAAGAACAAGTAGACATCATAGACTCTGGAAACGAGAAAAAAAATGTATATGTGAGAAGAGTTTAAGAATTAAGAAAGCTGTGAAATAATCTGAGGAGAGGGTTAGTCTTCAAAGTGCTTATTCCACCAGCATGAGGACCTGAGGTTTTATCTGTAGTGCCCATGTAAAAATCTAGGTATGGCAGGACACATCTATAGCCCATGGAGGGTAAGGTGTAAGATAAATGGATCCCCGGAGTTTGCTGGCCAGCCTGTGTAGCCAAAGAGGTGAGCTCCAGGTTCAATAAAAGCTAGTGTTTCGGGAAAAAAAGGTGAACAAGACCTGAAAAGTGCACCACCAATAGACATGAAAATCTGGAAGGGGAAAATCTCTTGGGGCCCTACCCATAGACAAAGAACTAGAGGCAACTGAGGAATGCTGAGAGAGGGAGAACCATCTTCCTCAGGGAAAAGCCTAATTGGTTGTCCGATAAATACCAAGTGGCCAGCCCTGAAAACAGACACGAACTGAGCAAGTTCTATATTTAGGTGTGTGTGTATGTTTAACATAAGAAGTAAAGAAAAGGAGGCCACGGTTTCAAGAGAGAGCAAGAGGAATAAGGAAGTGGGTGGAGGTAGGAAAGGGGAAGAAGAGCATGCTGTAATTATAATTTTTAAATTTTATTTAAAAAGTGGAGAGTGAGGAAGACACTCAGTGTTGACCTCTGGTCTCCACATCTATCCACAAACATACCTGGACATTTATACAACACACCACAACAACAACTAAAAAGAAGGCTGGAGAGACAATTATACACCTGGTATGTCTGTAAAGACATCTTGTCTCAGTATAGACTTGTTGTTTGAGGCAGGGATTCTCTGTGTAGCCCTGGCTGTAGCCTGGAACTAGCTCTGTGGACCAGGCTGGCCTTGAACTCAGAGCTCCACCTACCTTAGCCTCCCAAGTGCTGGGATTAAAGGTGTGCACCACCAGACCTGACTTCAGAATAGACTTTTTATTCTAAAGAAGCTTTTCCATAACCAAGTTAGACTTGGGTTGTTTATTTCTTTGTTTGAGATAGGTTCTCATTGTATAGCCCAGGCTTGTCTGGAACTCACCTTTTAGTCCAGGCTGGCCTCAAACTCAAAATAATCCTCCTGCATTGGCGGCTTCCTAAGTGCAGGGATTACAGGCAGGAGTTATCATTCCTAGCTAATATGTGTGTGTGTAATAGAAACAAAATGTTAAGAATCTGTTCTATCAGGAAGGATTAGGGAACCCAGCTTGTTGATTTATACAAGTCTTTTGGGTCAGATTTGCATATATATCTTGTATATAAGAAGAGGGAAGCCAGGTCAGTATCCATATCTTTGTGGCATGCAGAGCTTTGTGGCATGTTTTTCAGAGGCCTCTGGTTTATTGGAGGGTGATGAGGAGATAGGTGATGGGAAGTCTGCCAGCTGTTGCTGATAGACGTCTGTGTGTCCTAGTGCTGTCAGGTCAGGATTCTGGGCAGTAGTGTTCAGAGGTTCTAGTCTGATCTGGGCTGTGTGAGTCTTATGAAAATTAAGTCAGCCCAAATAAAGCTATTGACATATCAACCAGGAAAAAAAAGTTAGCTACTGCTGTGTGTAACCTGGCTTCTGAGAAACTTTAACCTTTGGCTGGAAAAGAAATGTTACGGTCTTCAAGACTACAGAATTCTTCCGTTTTCAGAAGTGTGGCCTTACATGGTGATGGTGGGGGTGGAGTGTTAATTGGCACATGTCATTTTGTCTTGCGGTAGTACAGAGATGGCATTGCTCCTGATTTGCACATGCTACATGGTCATGGGGAAAATACAGGTCAAAGAATGGTTTTATATAAAAGTTAAGACACAATTTCACAGGATCTTTTAGCTTTGTATTAAATGTGATCAAAGAGATTATTCCACCCAGGACATTGAACTCTTCCTTCCTTCCTTTTTTCCTTCCTTTTTTCCTTCCTTTTTTCCTTCCTTTTTTCCTTCCTTTTTTCCTTCCTTTTTTCCTTCCTT